TTAGAAATTTCAAACAACCCCCTGCTTGAGAAGTCAATATGAAATGTCAGTTATTCAACAATACATTTCCTTGTATTTGCACAGAAAGAGCTTTTCAGAATCCTATTTCATCTGAGTAGCTGTGTGAAAAGTCGTAAACCAGCAGGAAGTGTTCCGACCAAATGTTGGCTAACTTTACTCAAGAATCTGCTAAAGGTAATTCCAACGTATGTTTTTGTCCTTAACAACTAATCAAATATTATTAATTATATTAAGTTGTTCTCCAGTTGACTTCTTCTTATCATCACTGTGTATATGTGCATTTGCATTTGTTCGTGTCCCTCACCGTGGCGTCCTCTCCAGACAGAACCCGGGGTTTTTGCTGAGGTCCAGATGCAGCAGGGAATTAGAGTAGTCATCACTGGAACACAACGCCTGGGACAGAGACACAACACCTAATGCAAGAAAGAAAGGAGAGGAGACAGAAAGAAGGGAAGAAATGCAACAGGGGATAAGGATAAACAAGCCATATGCATCCTTCTGTCATTTAATCTTCTTATATCATGGCTGGAGTTTTTTAAGACTCCACAAATTTAATGCTCAGGACGTGACTTATTAGCTTCTAATGAAAACAAAACTAGATAATGGAAGAGAGTGAGTAAGCATGGTAGCAGAAATTATCCTGCAAAGATTATTGCGTTCACGTGGCCAACAAGTATAAAATCAGCTCCTGGGGGAAGCCAGCCACCTTTTTCCCCCCTTTATCCCAGTATCTAAGAGTCGCCTACAAGCCAAAAGAAAGTCATTCTCTCAAATCAGATCACTACACAATTACACTCACAGGTCCGAAGGAACCCCTCATTAAAACTATCACCCTGCAACAGCAAGGCAAAACACAGCATGCTGCAGCAAGCTGAGGATTAAATATAGACCTAGCATAACAGGGAGAAATATCAGGCAGCAAACTAAAACAAAAGTCTGCAACCATCGTCACTCTGTGCCGTTTCCAGTTAAGATGCAATATAAACTATTGTGAGCAGTGAGGGAAGGTGTTTTTGTCCTGGTCTTTATCATTGGGAGCAAATGCAGAAGAAGACATCAACTGTTTGTGCCGCTCTAGAGGTCTAAGCTCTTCATCCCTAATTTACAGCGATTAGCGGGGAAGTGAGGGGGAAGAGGGGACAGGGTGTCTAATCCCCCCTCCCTCCCAGCCATCCATCTATCAGCTGCCTGTTTCTGCTGAGAGTGGAAACTTTTCGAAGCCATCTGACCTGTGAGACACTGTCGAGTGTGTGAGAGCATGTGTGATAAATCTGCTTATTAGCATGTCTGATCGCATCTTAGAAACTGCGATCTGTGCGAAAAACAGATATGTGTGCGAGGCCGACGTGTGTCTGCGCAGCTTGTGTGGACATATTACAGGTATTTTAGAGACAGACAGAGGGAGGGCGAGTCATCTATAAATATCAACAAAAAATGCTCAGCCCCTGCAAAGTCATACAACACTCACCATTCAAGTCAGTCACCATCACTGCATTCCCCCTCAATCCCGTCACAACCCACTCTCTTTAAAGTCACAGTGAGTGAGCTTTCCCTTTAGAACGTACTCCAGCGCTGGATTGAGGCCTTACAACACTCAGTGTCTCAGCCAACTTTTTACATTTTTACAGACTTTTTACAGTCAAAAGTTATGAAGTATAACATTTCCATGCTCCCCATCCATCCATCAATCTGGCTCCTAAAAATGATGTCATAGAACTCAGCCATGGTTTGTTCTTTTAGCTTTCTTTCTATTTCAACTTCAGTAAGAAATCCACTTTATTTATCATAATATATAACAAATAATAATATCTAAGACTTTGGACAGCTTCAAACAACATCTCAAAATTCACCTGTACAGACAAGCCTCATGTAACGCTCAACCCCTTTCTCTTACTGAGTTTGTTTCTGTTTTGTTGGATTCTTATTTTGCTTTGTTGAGGTAGTGATTTATTTGTTATTCCTTATGATGTACTTGCTTGTTCCTTTGGAAGCATTTTGTAACAAGTGTTTGAAAAGTACCCTATACATAAAGTTGAACTTATTTACTTGCTGGTACTTTACATTATGTTGTGAAAGGGAGAAGGGAACAGGATGTGAATGAGGGTCATGTCCCCGCCCCCCCAAAAGAAATGTGTTCATGTTACAAACCATAGACTGTATATACAAATGAACAGCATCCTCAGCCTCTCATTGGACATAATGAAGCCAAAAATCCATTTGATGGGTGCTGAAATAATTCCAATTTGCAACCAGAGGAGGAATTGCTTGAAGAGCCACGTTGTGTTTGTTACGTTTCCTCAGGCCATTTTATTTCTGTACTCTGCTAATCCTGTGCACAAAGCCGCATTCTCCAACAGAGCTGTCAATCATAGCATTTTATGGCATCAATAATGACCTCAAAAATAACTTCTTAGAAAAAAGATGTCCTTAACACAAAATGCTAACATTAACTATCACAACAGACACACAGTTTGAAAAAATGTATTCGACCTACATTTAGATTTTTTTGTATGACCCATGTCCCCTCTGTTTACATAGAAGAGGCCGGTTTTATGACCCATGCCGCAGCTAGTCAGTAGGGAGCTCTAAATATTTTGGCATCACTAGAGGCGAGCTAGTCCACTGTCCATTCTTTATACAGTCACAGCCCTTTTCAGACTGCCAGTTTTGCAAGATGGTGTAACCAAGCTCAGCTCATCACGTCTGTGTACATTCATATTGATTCTGTGACAGCGTTATATTCTTGTCTCTGAATTCACATTGCGTTCGGTTGCGGAAGCACAGCACAGCACAGCACAGCGGGAGCTCCACATACACATACAGTCAGACATACACACACACACACACACGCTGCACTCCCCGCTGGCTCCACTGATACAAAGACGGTTCAGAGTGAAGGATCACTCCGCCCCCCCACTACGCCTTCACGACATTCAGATTGAAGCGAGTCATCACCAATATCGCGCCTTAAAACGGAAGTCTGAAATAGGCTATTGGTACAAACTTTAAACAAAAAGTGAAATTGTAGCATACATTTGAACAACAATGCAGTCACAAGTTTTGCCCTTATAAGGCAGCATGTCGTGCCACTATATGGGAAATAAAAAGCATAAAAACTAAACCAGCTAAACATCATTACCCATTAATGCATTAAAAGATAAAAATGCAATACAATTTTCTGTAATGGCAAGAAAAGGCAATGAAGATCAGGATATGAATGTATGGATTCAACATTTGTTTTAATCAAAATGATCCTTTTTGAATCTGCTCTAATACTATCTGCTGGGTAGTAAAACCTGCTGCATGCTTTCATGTTTCAATAAGAGCAAGGAATTGGGACAGTGTACTAATTCCTCTGTAGGAAAAAAAAAAACAGATCAACTACTTATGATTGTGACCTGATTATCATTTGGTAAATGGATCACACCGTGCATGCATGGGTCGGTTTATCTTTGTGTTGTAAATGCCAGGAGAAATAAAACTGCAGATGGGATAGCAGGGGAGCAATGTACTGAGAGAGAGAGACTATCATGAACACAAGAATTGTGTTAAAACAGATACAACTTTAAATGGGACTCTCTTTAACATGTAGTTAAAAAACTGTGTTTGTGTGCAGTGGCAGCCACTAGAGGCTGCTGCGTCTCTTACCCTTGGAGGAGAGGAGGTCTTGGCAAGATTGAGGAGGCGCAGTCCCTTGTTGAGGCGACACACCTGTTGAATCAGGTTGGAGACGCCTAGAATGAAGAGAGAGATGAGAGAAAGCCTGATTAATTCACAATAAACACACATTTGCATCCAAATGAATTCAATGTGTTATTGTTTACTATACTGGAAAAATATAGGTAGGTTATTGCTGTGTTTTACAAGTCTTTCCATCTAGAAAAATGCAAATAATTCAGAGTTTTGTAAGCCTGTGAATGTGTATATATTCTATTTTCGCTTAGATGCCCTCTTTAGTGAAAGCTGGTAAAATAATTTAATTTCAATTTGACAATAATAGCCACTTACAGCCTACACCCGAGTGCTCTTGAAGAGTTATGAGCCCACACAGAGCTTTGCAACACAACTCCAAGAGAATGCAACTTCTCTCAGTACACCCCCTCCAAAGCATACACAATGCTATACTCACAAGTACACTCCAGCTAAAAAAGACATCACACCGACATACTTCACAATGTCACCTTCTCCCACATACCCAATACAGAGACAAAACCATAGAAATACCGTATGCCAGACTAAATTACGTAACTAGTTTCTGCTCAGCGATTATGATTTCACTGATTGAACCATGATTCTGTAAAGCACACAAAGCTGATAGAAGTCTTGACTTTACTGAACTTCGGCTTCATTGTAGTGCCAATGCTTGTTTCGAGGTAACTGCTATTGTTGTAGTACTCAAAATAGGTCTCGTCCTTTATCCCCCGGTTACGGCCGCAACCTTCCCGTCTTACGGTCTAAGTGAGTGACACGCCCGCTGCACACAAGATGAGGATTTTTCCATGATATTTATGGACTTGCCTTGGTATCGTGTCAGTCTCACCCTGCCATGGTCTCGGTCTTGACTTGGTCTCGATCCCTATATGGTCTATCTCGGTCTCGGAGCACTCTGGTCTCAGGTATGTCTTGGTCTCTTGTTAGTCTGGTCTTGACTACAACACTAGTAACTGCAACTTTCTCCATTTAAAGGCTTAAAAACATATTGTAACATTGAAATGTTAATCTTTAATGTCAATCTTTACTGAACTGTGACTATCTGTATTACTTTGATGAATTGTAAGGCTGCAGCACCTTTGTAACAGCAATCCCAGTAACAGAAGTCTGCAGGCTATTAATACACACATGAACAAAGAAGGAGAGGGCAGGAACTGTGCACACAATGAAAGTGGAAGTGACATGTGTCAGGAAGGAGGACGAAATTAGCTAATGAGTGATTGTGGCATGCATGCAAAGCCTCACCCTGATCCTCCTACGACCTGGCGTCCACATATGTGGACATCACATTTTGGGTTGTCTAGACCACAATATTAAATTTTGCTCTGCAAGGGCCTGGGGTCCACATACGAGGACTTTATACTGCCACTTAGTGGTGTCAGAAGAGTATAACACATTATACATTAGATTCAAGATGGCCGACAACACACCCAGAAGTTCAGATGGCAACTCCCGATCCAAACTTCGAGCAGGTAAAAAATTCAAACAAATTTCATGGCTGATTCTTGTTCAGATATGTATAAAAGTGTTCAATGTTTGTTATGGAAAGAAAATTTTACAAAAGTTAGTAACTGTAACGCTTTACCATGCCGCTAAACATGATGTCCACGTATGTGGACAGAGGGACTTAGTTTTGTTAGTTTTGTTGAAAATGTTTATATGTGATCATAAATGCTAGCAACAAAACGTGAGAATGAAATAGTATTTTGGGATGATTTTGGTAGAAAACAATAATTTACTACAGTACAAGCAGATGTAGCATGTTTTATAAATAAATCTACATAGATTTTTATTTGATTTTTCTCATGAAATTTTTTTCCAGAGCGTTATTCTCTGTCAAGAGTAATGGAGTTATTGGGGTTAATTGGTAGAGACAACTCAGAGGTGGAAGATTTGTCAGACATCGATGATCCCGTAGGGGATGCTGAATATCAACCCCCACGACAGGAGCCAAGCACCAGTGAGGAGGACAGTAGTGGATGTGAGGGCCCCATTCCACAGCCCTCTCAGCCTATCAGGGGACGTAAACGTCTCCGTGATGAAAATGAAGGATATCGTTCAGATCGTGACAGATCACGCACTCCCAGACGTCACTCTCAGACACAGCAGGATGAGGCCGATGTCTCAAACAATGTCCCTGAAGAGACAACACCAGGACCAAGCTATCAAGAACAGTCCAAGAAAGGGCGTGAGATGCGATGGAGGGCTTCTCCGCTCACACCAAATCAAGCCCAGTTTGAGCATGAGGAGGAAACTGTGCAGGACAGAGCGGGCTGGACCCCACTGGACTACATAGAACAGTATATTGATAAAGATTTGATGAAAATGATTGCAGATTGCTCTAATGCTACGTCACTGGCTAGAAGTGGGGACCCACTCATCAACACATCAACTGATGAAATTTATCATTTTTTTGGTGCCTGTATTTTGATGTCTCGCATACTATATCCTGCAATCAGGATGTACTGGTCCAAAGCCTTGAGATTCACTGAAATGTTCACATGTGACAGATTCTTCAGGCTGAGGCGATCACTCAAAGTGCTCATTGATGATGATGTTCCAGAGGATCTGAGAGATTGTGATAAATTCTGGAAGGTGAGGCCTTTTCTGAATCGCATTCTGAAAGGCTGCAAATCTCAGGCTCGACCAGAATGTGTTTCCATTGATGAGCAGATGATTCCTTTCACAGGAGCTTGTCCGTATCGACAATATCTGCCAATGAAACCAAACCCAGTTGGCATGAAAAACTTTGTTTGCGCAACAGCAGATGGTATTGTGCTGGACTTTGACATTTATCAAGGTAGAGATGCAATCCTTGAGCAGGTTGAAGAAATATTGAGATATTGAAATGAACAGTTTAGAACAGTTACAATGCAAAATGTTTAGAATGTTGCTTTGTTACAGACATACGTCTTCCTGCAACTGTTAGCAACACTTCAAATGAGCCATATTGCTCAAAGGGGCACAATTGTTGTTTCTCATTTTGTTTTTGCACTCAGGAAAAATGCTGCTGTGTTCAGGCACCAAATAAAGAGTTGTGCATATCATTACTCAATTGTGACTTTATTGTGTTCTATCGAAATTTAAAACGAATGTCCTCATATGTGGACATCATTTTTCTCAGAAACTACATCATGTAAAAAGATAATTCTTTGTTTTTACACTCATCAGGTCCCAATCAGCCCAATCAGCAAAGAGAAATTAAAAATGCATGCCATGCAAGAGTTTGGGTCTTAGGAGGTTAAAGGCATACACTCTGCGATGCTTTCAGGTTTTTGTTTGTTAAAAAACAACAACCGGGCAGAGACAATTAAAGTATGTTTGTATATGTGGCTGTATAGAGAAACACAAGAGCTTCAGTGTGTGTGGAAAAAGTGTGGGCGAGACTGAAAAATCAAAGCAGTTCTCTGCAGAGCAGCACCACTCATACACATATAGTATGAAAGATAAATGAAAGAGAAAAAGAGGAACAGAGTATACAGGTTTGGTGAGGTAAGAGATTGATTTTGAATTCTTTGAGAGTAAACAAACGCCTTGGTAAAGCAAAAAGCATAGAACAATCAGAGGAGCGCTGGGAGAGACAGCAGTAGGAGGGAGCACACGTTCACAGTCCAGAAGAGTACCTTGGTTGTCGAGCGTGTTATGAGCCAGGTTTAGGGAGTGAATCACAGAGGCTGGGTTCTCTGACAGCGCTGACGCCATCTTCTGCGGAAAATCCCTGGAGACATATCGTTAAAAAGAAAAATTAGGCTTCTTGTAAAAGTTCAATAAAGTTTCAGGATTTCACCTCTGAGCAATGTGCACCGAATGTCCTACTCAAGATGCAGTATTGTCCCTTTGCCGGAACTCTAATTAAACTGAAGAACATTTGGGTAATAAAGTCAAAGTTTTAAAGATGTGGATTTTTTTGCAGTAAAAGTTGATTAAATGTTGAAATAACAACAATTTTCACCACATCATTAGAAAGGTGAGACAGACAGAGTTGAACTGGGAAGCAGATATACTCTCTTGGGTACCAATTGAAAAAAATGACAGACGGAGAGACGGACAGCTGTAAATGAGACAGACAAATTTAAGGTACCAATTAAAATGAGACTGACAGACGGATGGGTGGATGGATGTATGGATGGATGGGTAAGTGGCTAAGTAGATGGAAAAGTAGATAAGTGGATGGATGGATGGACTGTTTGATGGACAGAAGGGTGTTTGTATGTATGTATAAATGGATGCATAAGTTGGTAAGTGCATAGGTGGATGGATGGATGGATAGATAAGTGGATGGATGGATGGATAGATAAGTGGATGGATGGATGGATGGATAAGTGGATGGATGGCTAGATGGATGGATTAGTGGATGGATGGATGAATATGTGGATGGATGGATAGATAAGTGGATGGATGGCTAGATGGATGGATTAGTGGATGGATGGATGTTTCTTGATATAAAAACAATACTAGCTGCTCATTGTATTCATTTGTGTAGTACTTGTATTCAGTATCTAAGTGTAGCCTTAAAAAATGGCAAGAGCGCTGACAAGTACTTATACATTTCAAAGGTGCAAAGCCAAATATGGAAGTTCCATCGCATTTCCTTGGAAGGGCAACCCCCCCCTGGATAAATGTATGCAGAACATTTGGACTCTAATGAGCCGTCAGAGGTTTTTGACATTGTTGGTTTTGAAGGTTAAAACTGAACATAAGTGGTTCAGTCTCATTGCACAAATCAACCTTATCTAAGACACAGCATGTCTCTGTTTTCAATAAACCCAATGCTCATTGCCTACCATCTACCGAAAACAGACAAGAATCTAGCAGAAGCAGACTTAATATGGAGTACAGAGACAAAAATAGTAGCGATACAACGCATCTACTGATCGGTTGACAGGCAAAGATTTGCGAACAGGTTTTCCCAACCTGATAAGACAATACATCATCGTGTTTAATTACTGTTTTGTCGGCCAATAGTAGACAAAGATATTTTCTTTTGAACTGTTTTAAGTAATTCACATTTATCAACATAACTATCTGCAGTCAAGAAAGATTTATATGTCAAAAAATCTGTTCACTTGATGAGAAATCTCCTCTGAGCATTGTTTGGAACAAAGTGCTTTGAATTGAGGGCTAATATTTTCCTCGTACACTTCTGTACTCTACAAATTCCTTTTTAAGTCTCTTCAATCACATATCAAAACGGATTTCAGTGGGAGTCTTTTAAGTCACATAATGTACTTAAATAGTCATAGTGTGTTTCATCTGTGGGAACTTCCTTATCACAGATGTATTCGCTTGTTTTTAATATCAGTGTCAGATCTGGTGCAGAGCTGTGGAGAGCGTCTTTTACAAATTGCCCTCTGTATTGAAAGTGAGTTAACCCAGGCAAAGTATAAAAACCTGTTAACTTCATCATTATGCGGCAGAAAATCATCTGGCCCTGAGGCAGCCAATTCATCTCAATTAGTAGTGAAAAGGGAAACTGCTTTGCCTAATGATTCTACCCATGCATAGAAGGTGAAAAGTCTTGGCAGGTGAAACCTAAAATTTGACTCATGTATCAGTGCAGAAAGAGCAGAGCCGCCACAGGCAGACAGCAGGGAGCTTTATTGGATGAAAGGGCAAAGATTAAGCGAGGTGAGGGGGGAAGAGAAAGGAGGAGAGGTAGAATCGGAAAGGTCACGACAGCAGAGGAGAGGAGGGAAGGTGAGGAGGGGCGGAGAGGTGACATGAGCTAAGGTGAAGAGGTGAAGCAGAAGAGATCGAAGTGAGAAGACAGGCAACAAGCCAAGGAGAGACAGAGAGGGAATGGAAAAGATTGGACCGAGTGAAAAGGACAAAAGAGGAGAGGTAGAGAAGTGTCTCAGAGGTGAAAGTGTGAAGAGAAGAAAAGGAGAGGAAATTAGATTAAACAAAGAGAGGTGGACTGGCAGGGCTGGTGAGTGCCAGGAGAGCGGAAACCTACGATTTGAGTCCTGCGTTCTCCAGAGTGAGCTCCTCCAGACTGTTGGACTTGCTGACTGTGTGTAGAACCTGGTCCACCACCTCCGACCCCTGCAGACACACAAGGCAACATAGAAGCAGGTGACCAGAGGATCTACAAAGTGAAACGTAAAAAAGAAACTGAAGCAACGGAAATGAGATTAATGGAAGATCTTTACCAATGGGTTGCAGATATCACACACTCCCCTTGTGTACATTAAGCTCTTAAACCTCATGCACAAATGTGTATTAAACATTTTTTGTACGAGCCAAAATAAGGAACACACTCTTGAAATGCATCAACACAAAATCTCTGCAAAAGCTGGAATAGGTTGGATATTTTAACAACTGATTTTTCTAGCTCTTGATTTTCTCTGTGCTCTTCATACTGTTGGCAAGTGGGTGAAGTTAAGAGTTTGGTTATCTCAGTATTAAACACTTAAACACAATTAGAACTAACTGTATTTTATTATTCACATGTCGCTTCCTCATGTTCGCCCAGCACGCTCACAATAAAATACCGTAAAGTCATTTTCAGTGGATTGTTGATTAATTATTCATGGTATGTTCCTGCAACCGTGCGCACCTGAGAACTTCAAAACTGTGCACAGTGTACCCTGTTGACTATTTTCGTCCTTTTTCAAACAGCATGGGTTTAATTTGTAAAAAAAAAAATAAAAAAAAAATGGGTCCATGTAGAGTGAAATGACCATGAATCAGGGGATGTTTTAGGAAATGAGCTGGGACTACAACAGACCTGGACATCCATTATGTACCCATCTCGAGTTCCAAATATGGTCAATTTGTAAAAAAACAAGACAGGGTCGGCCAAGGGGCCAAAGTTAAGGCTTCCATTAGGGTGGCATAACCATGGCTACATCCACAGCTAACATACAGTGTTACACATTGATAATTCATGCATTCAAACATTACATGATTTAAAAAGGTCTTAAATATCATCTACTT